TTTGTCCTATCAAGAAAACGTCACACTGAATTTAGACGCTGGTTATAAATAGACATTCTGAAGATTTTCATTTATAAGGATATAGGTTCGGCTAAAAAAGCTGAATTCTCACTTGGATTGAAATACTCAAATAAAAAGGCAGTACTGAATCACTGTATACTACGATGCTAGCAGGTCCATTTCGAATGACCAACTTTACACTGAGATATGACGGTTGTCAGTAAAACTATATTTCCACTAACATTAATATACTGTTAAGCAAAGGAAAGCAAACGGATGTGATCATTGAAAACTATTTATTAAACTGATATAGGATAAACTGGAACCAAAATGTCCAATAAATCAAAATGAACAGGGATCTCTTATTAAACTTGAAATCAGTGGGGGGTTTCTGTGAAAAATATAAATTTAACCCCCAAAGTGTTCAGTAAGTTATAGTTTAATTGATTGGTGTTGACAAGTTTCATACAGCTACTGTATATTATGAAATTAATCACAGATGACGACTCATTGGTTACATTGAATGAAAAATAAGAATTCAGAAAATGGGCGTGACGTCATGGCATTATGACGTTACTTGTCAGGAATATTTGAATACATACCTAGTGATATGTTAAAAACTCGTTAATGCTTTTCCTTTTAAATATCAGTTTTATGACACTCGTCATAATTTATATTAAAGATTAGTCAACTTAACCTGAACGGATAAAAAAATTAATTGACCTCCTTAAAAAATATATTGCAATATATGTTTCTATTAAAATACTTTATATTCATAATGTTTTGAAATAAGCTTGACTGAGCCTCCTTAAATGAAGTTTTCCAATATGATCGGAAACCTATTATAGATCCTCCTACTCCCGTACCGTGTAGTGATCCCTAGAATATACAAGTATCATTTGATTTCCAAATGGTCACGTGACAGAAAATCATTTTTTTACGTCAAATAAGGAAATATTTTGACGTTATGTACTTCAAAAGACGTCGTTATGCAAGCTTACTATGGTTCGACAACGTTTTACGTTGTTCATGTTTTGATAATTTTGGTCTTAATTCTTTCTCTGACCCTCATTAAGGTCATAGGAGTGTATTGCTAAACGGAAATAGGAAGTACATCCCTAGTTGAAAATCCAATGTAGGGAGACAGTATCACAATTTCCGCATATTCTAATGTTTAATATTAAACTGATGAATATTGTATGCGTATTATTGACAGAACAGTGTGTTCTTTCAATATAAAAGTATTGCAAAGCAATCCAGGCATTAATTCAGTTGTTTTTCAATAAATGAGTCACATGTGTCCATTTTTCTGTACATCAGGAAACCGGCTACCTATTTCACTACTGTGAAGTTTTTCAAGAACGATAACTCTTGCATGCAATTACTATGTGTATATGGTGTTATTATAAAATGTTAATTTTTAATCATTTATAGATGATTAATTTTACACAATTTCAGCATTTATGAAATTGATATACATTAATGCAATACTAATCTATGCTAGTATCATTTTTATTGACATCATTTTGCAAAAAGAATGTGTGTTCAATTTTTTTTCAAAATTCAATCCTTTTTACATAAATTTCCATTTAAAATCCTTAAAATTCTGACAACCTATATTTTTTTTGTGGCAGAAAATTTTCTTTACTTCAAAGCAATATAACTACAAAATTTGAATAAATTCTACTGAGAAATGGCGACACAATCCTATTACCTTAAATCCTGACCAACCGGTCGGCTCACTCCGCAGCTGTACGATGAGCGAGACATGAGCGAGACGATTTCGTTTTTCCGATCTGAACTTTCCCTTTGTTGATAGTTTAACCTATATCCCTTCGATGTTTACATGGCACAGTTGATTCCGTATTCAAACGTTGCTTCGAATTTCATGATTTCCGTGATAGATGAGGTGACGGAAAAACTAACAGCACAAAGTTACCAGAAATGCAGGCTTATGAAGACTATGAAAATGTTTCATTGCCATTTTATCATGATCCAAATGGAAAATATGTTTTTTGTACGTGCGACCATAAAATTCGACTTATACTCATTAAGTTGTTTGGTGTTTCATTGTCACTTCCGCTGTTCTCGCTTTGGCATCACATTTATTTAATTTGAGCTAGATTCACTTTCGGAACACCTGCTCTTTTTCTCCTTGTGCTTTTTCAAGGGTCTCCATGTCCATTTCTATGATCAAAATATTTTCCCCATTTCATCGATTTTTTATAACCAATATTACTGCGAAATTTATACGTTTTTAGTATCTAATTTAGTGAAAATGCTAACCCATTAGTATTATATAGAGTTTAAAAGCAAATATATGTGGTATTATTTTGACAGTAAGTACTCGTCCTTATTTACAATATTCATTGTAATCTATACGAGTTTTCGTCTGTCCTAATAATCTTTGGTTTTACCCGGATAAATTATGGAATGTTGACTTCAAGTACATGTTGGTAGGGGGTAAAATCTATTATCTTAAACATGACTTTGAATGGCCTTTGTAAACAACCCGAAATAGGTCCTTACTTAGTGCAAACATGTGTTCGACCCTTATTACAGACAAGCTGATACTTTAAATAGTTAATTTCGATAGAACAATGTACAGAGAAAGCAACATAGTTTACAGTCTTCAAAACAAATTTGTACACAAATGAAGTAATTTACCCGCGGGGAGGTGATATAGGGGATCTTAACCTGAGGGAGAATATACCTAAGTTATTAACACCAGGATTGCCAACTGATCAGCGAATTAAAACTCTCCCCAAAGTCATCCAATCACACCTCCAATCGGTTTTCTACAGCATAAACTCCCTCAGATTGCTTCCACCCGGGCTAAAACAAGTCATAAAAAAATATATAATCTCGTATTATTTGTAGAATATAATTAATTTTATCTTTATTTGGGCTCCTTTATTATCTAGACGCATCGGTGCAGCTCCTTGTAATAACTACACCAATCAGTAGACGTATCAGTGTGACAGTTCCTCCACCAATTACACTAGAACAAAAGAAAACAAACTTATTTTGGGAAAAAACATAATTGTCTGACCTTTCAGATCGATTGTCATAAATATACAGAGGAATAACATAAACAGTGATAATTTCTCCCCCGCCAAGTTGTCATCCTCCTCAGGTCCTTGAAAATATTTTATCAGCATTCAATTTCGTCAAATATGTTGACAGATACTGTCATAGTAACTGTATCTATGATAAGTTATCCCTCAAAAATCAATTCTGCTTATCATTACGAAATCTCTATTTCAAGTATTCAATAACTGTTACAGCCTCTTCTCTAGTTTCACGTCCTTGATTTATTTATTTCGTTAATTTTGAAAAAAGATATTGATTTCGGGTAGCAGGCTAATTACGTATCATGTTGTCAACCTTGGTGGACTTGTAAACGAAATCTGATCCCTGAGTGTTCGTCCGCTGTTGTATTCGCTCTCTAATCAATGACCAAACTGTTAAATAGATCGGGTTGTCATCTGCCCGTTTTTCAGTATACTTTAAATGATGCTGTCATCTTTTCGGTCAGACACACGTGAAATGAATAGAGAGATAGCGTCCGCCTCACCCATAATGGACATATAAAACACAACCTGCTGGATGAGAATTAAACATTTCCTAGCTAAAACGTTTATTCTAAATTCTTGTTTTGGTACTCAACAAATCAATTCATTGACAAAATACTTTGAGAGTTTGGCCATGCTGAGCAAGAAGGATATATCTTATTTAATATATCACTCACATAAGCTATGAAGTAACAGACCACGTACACTTAACCAGACGAAATAAGCTATCAACCGGGAACATGTAGTTATTGATTCTGCAGGGAAAACAAAGCCGATAATGCAACGCTTGAAATATATCAGTGAAAATACACCGACCTTCAATTACACGAGAACAATTAGGTTTTGTTTCGTAAGGAAACAATTGTTATTGTACGGTGAAGGATTGGTCAAACCTCATAGTTCACCGTCAGGGTAGGAACATGACGTGTGGTCTTTACAGGGAAATCAATAGTACCGTTCATCTGCTCGCTTTTTCACATGTTGTAATCCACCCAATACACGGCTCCTCTAATACCGTTATAACGTTATGTGTATTATACTATGTATATACCGGGGATTGAAGGCCTAGTCAGCTTAACGAAATTACATATAAGTATTAGACATTTGTAATGTTTGTTAAAATCAAAAGAAGACGATCGTCATTGAGCTTATATCAACTTTATGAATAGAAACATATATTGCAATATAATTCTTAAGGAGGAAATATATATGGCGAATTAAAAAAATGTTACCGTTCAGGTTAAGTTGACTAAAGTTTATATAAGTCAGCCTTGTCAATCATTGATGTGAGCTTAACTTTCCGCTTTTGCCTGATTTAGTTGTAAGGTGAGGTTTACAGTTACAGGCAGTGTTAAACTTGGCGTCCCATTTGTTTTAAACCGTGAATGGGTTTTTACCTATCTAACTCGCAAAGGGCTTTGACATCAAATTAGTACTCGAGGCCATGTAAATCCGGATTGTTAAACTATTCGGATTTAGGAATTAACCCTCTAATCGTTGTTTAACAAAGGATTTGTATTTAACAGAATGGCTGTTTCTTTACAGGTATGTAATATTGTATATACTATAAATACCTTCAAGTATGCAATGCATTAAAAAGTTAGCTAGCACAACCGGTGCTTTATACCTACATGTGGAAAGTTGAACACCTTATGATATTATGATTCTTCATGCATGCCTCGATACGTTGATGTTATTACACATGGGGTCCTCGAGTTATAACATCATGCTATCTTTTACTTTAATTCACTACACATTTAACATAACAAATCTATTAATGGCCTCAATTTTCCTTTTAATGTATCAAATGACCGTAATGGATGTTTCAACTTAGTAATGTACAAAAGTGTTAATTTTGTGTATCACGTCTCTATTCATGCGTAGTTAATAAGAGGCTTTACAAACACAAAACTGTGTACATGAGTACGGTTGTTCATAGGGTCCCAGTACATCAAGACAAGTGTCGATGTTTACTACAACAATGGTTGTAGGTCTGTCGTGTGTGAAGTACACAAAGCACTATCTTGTTTTTGGTGTAATGGTACCACCACACAGCTCGTAACGGGAGCTGTATAAGTCTGTGTTAAATTTATATGTGTATTTGGAGGATTTTACAAAATCATGATGGATACGATGTCAATAGTTGACGAGACCCGAGGGGTAAGTCAAGTCAACTTTCTTGTATTTACAATACTATAAAACATGGAATCAATATATATAAACATTTCTATTATTTACATAATTGTTCAACTCATCAAGATGTTTTAATATAGTTTGTGTGAAATGTATACATTATATTTATTTCTTAGACATTTAATTAAGTAGTAATACCTTTATTTGTTTGCGCATTTTCAGCAGATTGCATATTATTTTTCATTTGTTCCTTTTCCAAACTCGAATAAAATTGTACATAACTAATATCAGATCAATATCTCACGTGAAACATAACAACATTCTTTACGATTTAAAAATAAATAAAAAATATTGATGTTTAAATATTGATAATATAAAAAGACATAGACATGTTACGTAATTAATTGAAACATTTTTTTTAAAACAAATGCCAGTAAAGAGACGATAATTCTTTTTGTCAAAAAAAATACACTATTTAACTTTAGTAAATATATCAAATGTTTGAACACCTGTCTGCTGTAGATATACAGGATGTATATTACACGTGTCTCCTGCTATTGTCTGCCTTGCTGCGTCACGATGTGTTAACAAGATTAGTTTAATGTTTGGACAGCTTTAGTTCCCACTGATAAGAAGATATTTTTCAAAGGCAACCTCGTAAACGTAGTATCTCGGCATCTGTTAGTACATACGTGTGTTGTGTAGGTGTGTAGACATGCCATCAAACTTATTGAAACATGGAAGATAAATTGTCTGTTTTATTAGCAGTATCTATACAGACATCAATGTTTACCTATTGTCATAGTTTATTTACTGGCTTACAATCGTATGTAAACATATGCTTAGATTTATTTGTGATACTTTGTAAATTTAAAATGACAAACTAAAGGGAATCATTATTACTGGAATGTTACAGAAAAAATCAGATTTTATTTAAAAATCAAAAACATTATTATTCATCTTCGTTATTAGTGTGTCAATGCAATCAGGTACATAGTGTTGTGTCTATGTATGCACTTCAGTCATGACAGTAGAAATGACAGTGAATATCCTACGTTAGTAAAGTATTTTAATCTGCTGCTAAACCACATATCGAAGGTGTCTATTTCAGATGTAAATCAACAGTTGCCTGTATACATACATATCACGTATACATGAGTAACGTAAACTGTTTCATTTTGCCATTACATGCAGGTAGCCTGTCAAATATTTGATTGTCATTCGTGCAATTATCAAAGCCGGTATTGCACCTCCACGTAAAAGATTAGGTACAGTGCCTACTTCTTTCACTTTAATCCATGTACGTCATACATGTAGCTTATCCATAACAATAAAATTATTGTCGATCCCTCTCCCTCCCCACAAGGAAAGATAAAATCGTACGAGTCGAATGCCAATTCTGTTTGTATCGTGTGAAAATCTCTTTTGACAAAAAGGGCCGTTAAATCATGAATCTCTGTGTAAGTAAGTGAACGTATCCTCTGTTGGCTACCTTTTATTGTTAGGTCTATATGTGACGATTACTAAAGGCACCATGCCGAGTGGATTTTAGCAGGGACAGTATACCATGGCTTACAGATTATAAGCAAACCGACCTCTATGGCGAAAATACTGACAGCTTACAAAGACACTGACCTGTGTTACGTCTCAATGACAGATTACATAAACACTGACCTCTATCACGTCTATACTTACCCACAGGTTACGATTTTGTCTATGGTTTTGCTGATTAGGAGCTGTATTGTTTTGCTGTGATTTTCCGGTTCTTGCTTTGAGGAAGCAGCATACTTGGACCTACAATGTAGCAGATTTCGCTTACCCTTCTGGAAATGCGGTCTTATCATATCTGGCCGTAGATTTATCGAGATTAAGATCGCAGTTTGTTAAAACTACAAACTCACCCAACTCATACCCAACTCACACCCAACTCACACCCAACTCATACCCAACTCACACCCAACTCACACCCAACTCATACCTAGCTCACACCCAACTCATACCCAACTCACACCCAACTCACACCCAACTCATACCCAACTCACACCCAACTCATACCCATACCCAACTCATACCCAACTCACACCCAACTTACACGCGCGCATACATACACTCGTATTTTATTTTTATACAAGTCAATATGATAGTTTTTATTATCCTTTAAATCAAAAGTAGAAAAATCCTTTTTCTCTAAAACGTTATTGATATGCCATTGTAGCGTATATATCATCAATGTAATATTTCTAATATTTCTAATATTTTGTTAATACCACAAGTATACATTAACATCTATCATCCGTAGTCATTGAACTATCATTATATATTCCCACGTGACATAATGTACGTATCTTACATTCTTTCTACTGACACCTATATTAACTAGAGCAATATACACAAATCAATATCTGTTATTATCTACTTCTGTCAATATAATCTGGGGCAGTTATCCCCATATATGGGATGAACGAGCTAATGTATAGACAGGGTGTAGATACATGTATTGTATCGTCAGTGGTGGTACACAAAACGTTATCTTTATCGCGAGAAATTATTTGTTTACCAAACCTTCGTATTCGACATTTTCTAATCTGTTGGCATGACATGAGTATTAATGATACCGCTTTATTATGTATACATCATGATTCGTTATATCAATTTAAAGATATATATTTGTAACATAATGCGTAATAAAAGAATGATACATGTACCTTATTAGGAAATTCAAACAAATGACACTCTAATATTTAAACTAGGGTTTGCAAGATTTGAAAGGTATTAAAACAAGTAGCAACAACATTAATACCAATAAAACATGCAAAACACCATCGATGGCAGGCTCTAATCCCTGACAGTAACGATCAGGAAAGCTTGTTATAAATCATAGTGATTTAATAATCACAGATTACAAAGAATGCTGCAGACTGTTGGAAGTGAACAATGGACCTGGATCAAAAGTAAACCATTTGGCGACACAGGTGCCATTTAAATGCATTTAGCATTAAGGCAAATCTTTAAACTGTTTTTCCTTTTTTACAATGCATTTATTTATTTGATTTGAATGTCACAATCTCCTTTAAGACTTTAAAAATCGCTAGTGAATGTAAATGATTTCGAAAATATAGTTTGCCTCACGAAAACGCTAACATTAAATTATGTTACAGGTGTGTTTCCGATATTATTTATTAGTGTTTTTTATTTGTGTCAAAACGAATCTTGAAAAGACTCAATAATCAAATGATCGGATTTTGACTAGACAATGTGCATTGAAGGTACACAGAATGCGTGCGGATACTTAGGTTTTGTATGTTAAAATGTTTTCTTAACAACCGAACATCAATACGTTTGTAGGTCTACATTGGTGCTATTGAAATATTGTTATGTGGTTGTTTGCTCTTTTTCGTTAAGGATAGAATCCTTGTAGGCCTGTCGTGTAGGCGATGGAGTCAGTGATGTTCTGGTCTGACGTGTTAAGTATTGGAATGTATTGACCCCTCATAGGATCTATTCCTGGACAAACGTCTGTTTGTTTGAGTTTATTTGACACATTCTAACACATATAAAGACCAAACAATCTCATAATACGTATGCTTATATAAGTGTACTTGTATAACATTAGACCTTAGGCCGATGTTCTTAAATCATATTGACCTTCTTATTCTTCTTCCAATTAAAGTGCAGGCCCTTAATGTATTCTCGCGCTGGATCCTCACTCAAAGTAAGAATCGCTTTACTAAGAATGACGTAAGAAGCTTAACATATTGTTATAACAGATTCTTATTGCACGGTTTTGGATCAACCTCACCTTACATCACTAAAAGTACATCATAGACAGCATTCATTTTCTTCTCTTTTATTTCCAAGATTCCAATGCTTTCCTTAATAGTTTAAATTTCATAATGGTACTATTATTTCTTAAAATAACCATTTATGAATAATAAATGTACTCCCAATTAGTAAAGTTCGTGTCATTTCTATTTATGAAATAGTAATACTCCAGTCTACCACCGGCACTGCCAAATACAATTATCCGATACGTCAATAAATACTTCTATCCAATAATACGCTATACATTACTTGCTGCTATCACAAGAAATAAGAAGTAATGACAGTTAATTTTGAACATACAATGATTGTTTATCTGACTGTGTTAAATGTATACACTTCATAGAAATTAATACAAGCAATCAAGATGATGATGGGATGACTCAAAAACATGTTCCGAATTTTAAATGTTATATTCATATTCGTTTGGAAATACCATCCGGATGTAGCAGGTAAAACTCCAATGAGCTGAAATCTTATGAATGAAAAGGTCACTCAATATTACTTCCCAGAGATATCAGACGTTAGAAACTGATTAGCTGTGTGTGGTGCAGCAAAATCTTTTGTTCATTGACTCGACATGCCTTAACAAAATACAAGGGATGTATTCAAACTAAAATAAAGGATATTCACAGAACGTTTGTGACAAAGTTCGGTATTGGTTTCAATACAGCCCTGCCAAATTAATACGATGTAAGTCGCTAATTGCAATTCACATCCAAAGTACTACAGGGTACGTATATGCTTACACGGCTTGTACTAAAGAACTAGCGAAGTAAAACGTGGGATAGAAGTATGTGTGTTGGCAGTTGCTAGGAAATGTATTTTTTCTTTCGTTGTTAATGAAATGGAGGAGTGAGAGGCTGAGTCAGGTGATATCGGAACCTCACGCGGGGCATTGATTTGTTGGTGTATTTCATACAACTGCTGTTTTGTTAGTATATAAACATATAAAAATATATGTCGATACTTCGATGAAAGGTTGAATAGCATATTGCACGGGGCAATCATTTTCTGTTCATAATTATCTATGATTCGTTTTTGACATGAAAACCTGCATGTCACGTTTTAAATGATGTGTCATGAAACGCATAATATTTATAAAATGTAAACAAATTGACATCATTCCATATGTTGACCGTATGATGTCCATCGTCTGCATAAGATACAATGGAAATATATATATATCTGTATTTCATCTATCCAGG